AAGCAATTTTATTAGAGAGAGAGAGAGAGAGAGAGAGATCGGACAAAATAAACGCACCGGTAGTATCGTTAACAGGCATATCGATATTAGCGCCGGACTCCTTGACCACCTCCTCGGCCAGACCCGTGTGACCCTTCATAAAGGCGATACACAACGGAGTCATTTTCCAGTCATTACACTCATTGAGTGGCGCTTCGGCCTCCCGGAGCAGTTTGAAACAGTAATACCAGCCGTAGGCACACGCGTAGTGAACCAGACTATTGCCGGACGAGTCTTTGGCCGTGTGGTCGGCGCCCAACCGCAACAAATGGCTCACAACATGCGAGTGTCCGTTCATCACGGCGTGGGTCAGCGCAGTGCGGCACCTCTTGTCGCGGGCGTCCGCCTGAGCGCCGTATTCGGTGAGCAGTTTCACTACCGACAGTCGGCCCGACTCGGCGGCCACCATCAGCGCCGACAGTTTGTCCTTAACAGCGGTGGTGCGGCGCTCGATGTCGGCCCCGCCCCGGATCAGCGCCTTACAGGCGTCCGTATTGCCGCACTGGGCCGCCCAGTGTAGTGGCGTATAGCCAGCCTTGTTATAACGTTCCAGCGTTGATTGGCTGGCCGTTGCCGTACCGATCGGCACCTTTTTCTTGCCCTTGGCTTTGGCGGCGGTGTTGGTGTCCGGTGTGTCGGCGGTGCCGGTAGTGGTGGCGGTATTGGCGGCGTTGTTGGCCGCGACACTGGTCTCGTGTTTGATGATGGCCTCGACATTTCGCGGGCGGTTACGAGACGCGGCCAAGTGTAGGGGTGTGTTGCCCTCCTTTTCCACCATCACAGTGGACACGCCGTTTAATAGCAGATACTCCAGATTGCCAGGTGCTGGTCATATCATGGTTAAAATAAAAAGTAAATTAATAATATAGTAATTTGGTTGCAATACTGTATTGTTTATATAAGATAGTGGTGAAGAAGGGGTGGGATGTAAGGGGCTATGGAAGGGAACGGTAGTCAGAATTTTGAGTGTAAGATCACTGTTCAAAGAACTCATATGAGGTCTGTAGCGAAATAACTCCGATATCATCACCAAAAACAAGACAATTGGCTAATCAATGGCTAACATAATAGCACAGGTATTGGGGAAAGTGGTTGTTGTATATCACTATACCTTCGCAAACGGCCGCGTAGTGGACGGGCGTCCAGTTCTGGGTGTCGGGCACTGAGAAGTCCGGCTGCTGTGCCAACAGGGCCTGCATATGGCGGCCATCGGGGTTAATAGCGGCGCAATGCAACGGTGTAATCCTCGAGTTGCCGGTGGCCTTCTTCAGCACCGATACCGACCGGAATTGTGGCAACTGTTTATCATTGGACAGCACCGCCCGGTGCAGCTCATTGAACCCGAACCCTCCCTTCTGGATACCCTTGTCTACGATATAGTGGGCCAGACGGTAGTGGCCGTACCGCACGGTTGTCACCACGTGGTCCAGGAAACGGTAGATCAGGTCGGGCTCGCCGTCCGGTGGGGTTAGGAGTTTGTCCAGCGTTGCCGGCGGTACGCCGTATTCGATGGCTTGTTGGACACGGCTGTCATCCAGATATGTAGAGTAGGTCCGGTAACTGTAGCCGGTGTACCTCCAGCTGTCCTTCAGTAGCGCGTTATTACCTATGGATTAAAACAACGGATCAAATCAGGTGATAGTATGAACAGTATGGGGAGGGAGTAGAGGGCAATGGCCAGAAAGGGGCTGAACATCAGAGATAGAGTGTAAGATCACTGTCCAAGAACTCATATGAGGTCTGTAGCGGTTATACTCGTTATCATCACCAAAACTAGATCTCCAAACATATAACGATAGTAATAACGTGTTTAAATAGTTACCTTCGCGACCGCCGCGGCCAACGTTCACCGATCGCAGGGCGTGACCAAACATGTAGCGCGAGCCGTGTCCGGTGCCCTCATCGCTGAGCATAATATCGGGAAACGGGGCCAAAGTGTCCCCCACTTTGGCTGTCATCAACTTCTTGACGGCCACGAAGTCGTTCAACTCGATGGCGTAGGACAGGGCGTCCCGTTGGACGGCCACCGATCGGGGCACAGCCAGGCCGCAGATCAGCTTCTTGTCGCCCGACAACAGCTGATCCAGCAGTCGGTGATCGCGTAATAGTACTGCGCGTGTGATGAGAGCCGAGTGCGCCAGCGATGACACGTACGGCACCGGCAGTCGGGACTCGAACAACGGGTCCGTCTCGTAGTGAGTGACGTGTGGTTTGGGGTTTAATTGCGGGCCCTTTTTGCGGGACTTTTTCGCCGGTGTTGTCACCGATGGATCAGTTGGCGTTGTCTTTGACTTTCTGGTACCCTTTTTGGCAGAAGCGGTGGTGTCAGCTGTGGTCGTGTCCGCCGATCCCTTGGTTCGCTTACCAGCGCTGGCCTTTGCTTTACTGACCACTTTATCGACCTTTTTAACTGGATAGTAATGAAATTATAATTAACATAAATCACCATGGTG